CTGGAGTGTAGTTCCCGCGAACTGGGACTGAGGGCAACCCAGGAATAGGGCTGAGAACATACCTATCGCTCCAATCATTTCGACAATTGTTATGAAAGCTGTCAGTACTCGAGGCCCGGGAAGGAACCTACGGATAAACAGCCCGCCCAGGAATACACCGGTAGCTGTGGGCACGACACCTATTATACCTATTGATTGAGACATAAAATAAGGTTCAAGTAAATGAATTTAATAAATTTTTAAACTTATATGTACCGGAAAATAGGTTGGCAGTAGAGGCCGATGTTTTGTACTCAGACTCAATGTATTTGGATTTGAATGTCATATACCCGAGCACTGCAAACAGTCGGGCAGTCGTTCCCAATACATAGCAAACATAAATGGGATTTTTGACCAGGAGTAGAGTACGCTCCCATATAGCTATAGTTAAATAAAATGATTTAATTTTATCTAAAGTATGAATTTGTTTATGTAATGTTTACTTTTTTCTTGAGACACTTTAGCAGGACTTCCATTCGTTATGGCGTTACCATTGAGTGCATCACTGATTTTATTATCACTTTTAGTAAAACTTCGGGGAAATAGAAACATTGGGATTGTGAATATGAGTATACCGGTGCCGATTGCAATAAACCCTATCCACCAAGCACCCACCCATCGAGGGTCACGCCTATCGATACCCGGATCAACTATAAATCAATTTGTAATTAATTATTTCCATAAATAAGGGAAATACAGTACAAATATTTGTATACGAAATGGGTTTTCATAATAAGTCAGACAATAGGATGAGAGCATAAAACCAAGTGTTGGGCCACAGAGTCGGAGCGCACCCGTGAGACCTGCACCACAGGGAGAGGGAAGTCATAAAATTATAAAAATAAAATCCCTTTCCTCTCAAAATTCTGACTCAAATAAAGGGGAGAATTCTTCTTCTTGACCGAGTCGTCGATAAACGGAATTCCTATCGTATAAAAGGATACAAATCCTATGCCATTGCAAAAGTTGCCCAACCATAACACCACAACAGCTAACACTACGGTATTGGAGGCACCGGTAGGGCCTTCGCAATCATGACCGTCCAGTCGGTTTGAATCGCAATACTCGACACTTTTATTCAACACTAAACCGTTGACATCAGTGTTCAATAGGTGT